AAATGAACTAGGATCCATCATTGGGTTTCTCTCCCGCCAACGAAGTTACTCTTTTGTTTTGTAAAATACAGACAAAGGGAAGACTGATCTCTAGTTTTGTAAATAAAATAAAATAAAATGCAATTTTATTTTTTATTTTTTCTTGTTAGAGGCTGTTTGCTCAGAGGTTTTTTTCAACTTGTGCCATTTTTAACTTCTGCAGTGGATAGTAGGGATGTTTTGACTTATATGCAGCCAGGCAATGTATAAAAAATAATGATAGGGGCACACCCTCTACGACACTCTCAATCACACCACCTCTCTTGCTACAGTGCACGTGGTCCACATGAGATTTTAAAAATTAAAATCTCATGTGGACCCCGTGCACTGTTGTAAGAGATGTAGTGTGGTTGGGAGTATGGTAGATGGTGTGCCCCTAGTGCCTCTCATGTATAAATATGTTGTGCGCAGCGGAAATTTCGGCAGCACCTCCGGTGCGCAAGGTGCACAACAAGAGATTAGATCACAACGGAATTCTAGTTTCTCAAAGGAAACAAGAACCGAAAGTCAGATATCTCATCGAAGTGAGATATCAGCTCTTCCTCTCGTCAGCTCTAGGACTGCGCGTCGAGGGTCCTCTCGTCAGCTCTAGGACTGCGCGTCTCTAAACCCTCTCAAACAAACTCTCAAATCCCTCTTACAAATATTCTCTTAAAGGGGATGCATAAAACTCTAAAAAACAGCCGCTGGTGTTTTTTCTCCTTCAGCCGCAAAGCACACATCAGCCGCTGCCTTTTCTCTCTTGCACGCCTCCAACTGCTACTGCAAACTTCAGCCGCCAACTGCACCTGACCTCGCACGCACGCTGCTGCCCTCCTTTGCTCAGCCGCCAACAGACCGTGCAACCCCTCAACTTGCTACAGGAAAACCTAGGAGATCACGTCCTTATATATATGAATATATCGGGTGGGCCTGCTCTCAAATCTCACGCGAAAACAAAAGCTCCGCTCTTTGTTCGCTGATCTCTTCACAACGTGGGGTCCCACGTATACATCACATCCCACGTTTTTACTCGTTCACAATTCTCCACCTCGGTGAAGTTTTCCCAAAACTGAGCCGACACCAACCAAAACAAATGCCTCACTTGTTGTATCCGGTACGCCATGGCAACGGACTCATGACAACAGATTCCATCCACAACAGGTCGAGACCCAAACGGGAGTGCGAACACTCAACCCAAACCAAATAGTGTCTACTCACCAAATCAAACTGAGCCTACACCGACTACACCAAATGCCTCACTTGTTGAGACCCAAATGGGAGTGCAAACACTCACCCCAAATGTCGATGTCGCTCACCAAATCGATCTCACCCCCATCAACTAATCCAAACCCGGCTGCATCTGAAAGACTGCCTACGTATCCTCTTGCCCAAGGAATCAAGCCGAACGTAGTTCACCCAAATGGCCGCTAACGACCTCAACCCAATAGAAGAGTTTTCAACCCTTCTCCAACATCATGATCAAGTCTGCGGCTGATAGCACCTCCAATGGCCCTAAACTGAAACAATCCAAACACCTCTACCTGAGATGAACCAACGGCCATGTCTAGACTACATCTATCAGCTGCACTCGAATCAATCAACCTATCATCTGCATCCAAATCAACACGATTCCCAATCTGTGTCATATCAGCTGGAATCCCAAATGATACAGTATGATCTGAAGTTTCCACCTAACGTGGAGTAGCATCACTCTCCACCCGCTGCGATGTCCAAAAGATCTGATCACCACTCTCCACCTGCCGAGAGTTAAACGTGACATACCTGCTCAGAACAAAATCAGAAGCCAATACCTGATAATCAAACACGCCTCTGAATCCTAAATGTGCTATCGGATCAAATCTCACATCCACGATGTGACCAAGTGCTGGGTAGCTTAACATCCGACGCAACCCAAAATCTGAAGCAGCTCCACCAGATCCAAAATCTCTACATGCAGCAGTCGGCAACCTATACATAAGATAGCCCAAACATGTCGTAGCCCGCACACCAATGCCAATGCTCGACATCAACCGCCGATACTCCTCCAGAAAGGAACAGCTGCCAGAATCTGCCATCTCGCCTCGTCGCCTCAAAGTTTCCACACTAATGAAGTGTCTCTTATTGCCGTGAGCTCGGCACGAATGCAGATATAGGTCCCTCTTGTACCTCCCTCTAACATCAGACTGAAGTACCTTCACCTTTCTGCCAATACACTTCCTCAATTTGTTGCGGGCTTCTAGGACTTCACACCAACGGGACTTGGTTGCAACCCACCAATGCCTAGAACAATCCCCAACTGCGGAAACCACATACCTATTACCTCCCAATAATGCTCCCTTGGAAGGCCCCCGAATGCCTGAATGAACACCCCTCAGAAGACCCCTCGAATGATGGATAGAAGTGCCGAACTCCATCTCGGTCTTCTCGCTCATACCAATGAGTTCATAGGACTTCAAACTGCAGGTCAAAGCACTCCTCAATAACCTATGCACGGCATTACCAATCAAATAACCAAGCATCAAACAACGCCACAGTCTAGCCAAATCTGATGAAGTCGTCATCTCCCTATCAATCTCCGTGCTTCCGAGCAAATAATACAAATTGCTCCTTCTGACGCCCTTCATCACAATCATGGACCCCAATGTGACCTTCAAACGTGCATCCACCAAGGTCACTTTATAGCCAGATGCCACCAAAGCTCCTAGTGAAATGATGTTCTTTGACAACTGCGGAACGAACCTCACTTCTTCCAACTCCCGCACCATCCTGTCACTCATCTTAATCCGAACGGTACTAATACCACCAATAGAGTATGCATGTCCATTACCCATGAGCACAACATCCTCTCTTTCCAACTTCTGAAAGCTGGAGAACCAATCCCTCCTAGGGCAAACGTGGTATGAAGCACCCGAATCCAACATCCACTCTGTAGAGTTGGCAACACAAACTGACGGTAGTGCAGACAACGAATAGCCCGAAGAATCCGAATCTGAATCGTTGCCACTAGTCTTGACAACATTCACCTCTGAAGCTTGTACAGCTTTCCCCTTATTCTTCTCGGCTCGATCTAACTTTGGGCATTCGGCTTTCCAATGTCCATCCTCTTTACAAAAGGCACACTGATTCCTACGAATCCCACGATATGCACCTCTAGACTGCGACCTCCTGCTTCGGTTTGAACCACGGCCATGAACTACTAATGCATCTCCCGATGCCTTCTCGGAGGACTCATCAACACTCTTCCTCAACTCATAATTCACCAACGCTGAGGTCACCTCCTTATAACTAACAGTAGTTCTTCCGTCAAGCATGACCGAATAACTCCACACGTCCTACTATTCATCTTCTTCCAAACCTTAGCTTCCATCTCGGCAGGTTTCTCTTGTAACTCAAGAGTCTCCTCCAAATTCTGAGCGTCCAAGGCGTCCATCACCTGACACCTCCATAATCCGAAATTAATCTTGCCGTCGAATTTCGGAATATCAATCTTCATGTTATTGATGCTCAAATTATGTATCGTCTTCGTAAGAGACGATCCCGATGTGCTTGCTTCACCCATATTGTCGATCTAATCTTCAAATAGGAATCCTTCAGCGAATCCTTCAAACAAGCTCTCAAGTCTAACCTGGAGCTCTGATACCACTTGTTGTGCGCAGCGGAAATTTTGGCAGCACCTCCGGTGCGCAAGGTGCACAACAAGAGATTAGATCACAATGGAATTCTAGTTTCTCAAAGGAAACAAGAACCAAAAGCCAGATATCTCATCGAAGTAAGATATCAGCTCTTCCTCTCGTCAGCTCTAGGACTGCGCGTCGAGGGTCCTCTCGTCAGCTCTAGGACTGCGCGTCGAGGGATCCTACAAGCTATTACAAATCACGGCAAGAACACAAAATTTTACGTGGTTCGGCAAACTGCCTACGTCCACGGGGCAAGGAGGGGGAGATCTACTATTAGAGGGAGAGATACAATTGGGATTTACAATCTCACAAATCTAAACCCTCTCAAACAAACTCTCAAATCCCTCTTACAAATATTCTCTTAAAGGGGATGCATAAAACTCTAAAAAACAGCCGCTGGTGTTTTTTCTCCTTCAGCCGCAAAGCACACATCAGCCGCTGCCTTTTCTCTCTTGCACGCCTCCAACTGCTGCTGCAAACTTCAGCCGCCAACTGCACCTGACCTCGCACGCACGCTGCTGCCCTCCTTTGCTCAGCCGCCAACAGACCGTGCAACCCCTCAACTTGCTACAGGAAAACCTAGGAGATCACGTCCTTATATATATGAATATATCGGGTGGGCCTGCTCTCAAATCTCACGCGAAAACAAAAGCTCCGCTCTTTGTTCGCTGATCTCTTCACAACGTGGGGTCCCACGTATACATCACATCCCACGTTTTTACTCGTTCACAAAATACACACACACTGATGATTACATAATGCCAAAGAGTCGAGCTCGGTGATCCAAGAATTAACTCTCTCTTTGGTGCACAATTATTAACGTCACAACTTGGTTCAGTAAATACTTTCTTGGGTTAAGAGGCATATCAATCATGACGGATCTTGATATTGACTAATTTACTAGCACTTAGCATGTGTTCCGGAGTTCACTAGGAGAAGGAAAGGAAAGGTAAAATAGGACAAGGAAAGGTAGAGAAGATGAGGGCAAGTATAATGGAGGGGAACTTAGTTTGTCATGTTTGAAAGTTCTGACTAAGCGAAGGTAAGGAAAAGAAAAATCAAATCTGAGCAGTTAATACATAGTGATGAGAGCCAAATATTAAATTTTTAAGTAATGAAGAGGACTTAGTTCATCATGTTTGGAAGTTCTAACTAAGAGAATGAAAGGGGGGGAAAACGGTTTCATAATCAAATCTGAGCAGTTGATCCATAGTGATGAGAGCCAAATATTAAAGTTTTAAGTTTACTTTCTCTACCCTCCTTTACACCAGGAACAAAACTATAACATTTTT